GCCGTCAAAGTAAAGCAGCGCTGCCTGCGATTATCCAAGCATGCGGGCTCGCACGGTGACAACTCCAGGTGTGCGGATTCTAAGAGTTACTAGCAGCTCTCCTTTGCTAATGCCCGTGTCGATGCCAGCACGACACCTTTCAAGGGGCCCTGCAACACTTTTTGAGAATGGTCAGAAAACGCTGCCAATCAGTAGTAGAGACTCCCGACAACATGCGAGCCAAATATTATAGCGCAGCAAGCGACCTCGAATTCACAATAAATTATCAAAGTCAGCTAAAAATTGCTTTCCCTTCTTACGACAAATCACGTTATATGCCCAAAAATCACACGTCAACAACCCATCTATCCGCCATTGGCTGATTTGAACATGGCGCACTCGCTCGTTACAGAGATCGCGGCGAGAGGCCGCTACTTGCCCACACATGCACGCACAATCACTATGAAAAAGTCACGTATGCGAAGGAAAAAAAAAAGTGATCAAGGTCGCAAAGCGCTTATGACATTTTTTTGTGGCCCTGCCATCCCTCCTTCCTTAGCTTTCAGCACTTTCCTCGGGACGAGAGAAGAGAGAATGCTATTGCAGCATGTGACGAACCTTTGTGACTCCACTCCTACTGGACGGATTCTTAAAATTTTTGCAGCGTTGAATTCGTGAGGTAATAAGCTCTTCCAGTGAATTCATTCCATGGTTACTTGAAAAAGTGTTTCAGGGCCCATTTAAACAAGTCCTTGGGTGTTGACACGTATACCTTCAAAGGGTGTGGCCGTTCCTGGAAGGCGAGGCTTGTATTTGCATGAGTGTGGCTGCCGTAGCTATGTGAGGGGTGCTCACAATAATAATGTTTGGTCCGCGACTCAGGTGAACGATGAAGTCTTCCCCCTTGCATGTTGATACCCATCCAGTGACTAGGGTGAGCATCTTGGCCACCTGATGGAAACAGTTCGTGAACATTCAGGCCTAGGGTCGGGCGAACCATGACCTTCAGGTCAGCGCACTGCCACCGATGCACTTTGGCACGGCACCTGTGTTTTTAGGAACATCTCCAGCGTGCTCGCACTGCTCACCGTTGAATAATGCTCAGGATTGTTGACTGTAGGAGTGTGCTCACCCCCCGTTCCTGTTTATCAGAGATTTGCTGTTTTCGCAAGTGTCGTTTCTGATGAAGGGAGACGACCATTTGCCATTGGCATTCTTGACGCTTGCGCTGTTCTGAAATAATGAGAGACAGCCCAGGCGAGGCCTCATACAGTAGATGTTTCTGTTGAGTTTTGAACAAATTTTCATAGTTTCTGTAGTATATTGTAGAAGCATGACATTCTCCAGGATTTGGGTGATTGCAGGAACTAGACTTGGCTTGACTCCACAGCTCACAACACAGCGACCGCCTGCCGGTCTCCGGGCTCCGACGTTAGGGCTAACCCTAGCAAAGGTTAGCCCGAACCGACGCTGGGGCTAAACTTTACATTGGCGGTGCCAAACGACTCAGAGCTCTCGTTACTCATAACACTTCAACTTGCCCAAATTTTGGTTCAATTAAGCTTTCTGACTGTTTACAATGATATTCCACTGGCATCCATGATTCTAACTGCTTGAAACGTCCAAAAGTCAATGAGACAATGGGACAAACACCACACCACCGTCACCATCATGACAGACCAACATCTGATGATACATGCCAATTCTGCCATTGTCTGCAAAAAGGCTTGTGATATGGGAGAGTCAAAATAGCAACCATTGAGCGGCACTGGTACAGAAAGACATATGCAACAGTCATGACCTCACAACATCACATTTGATCGCACCTCCATTCATGCCTTATAATTTTAAAATGATTATTGCGGGAGTATACCTTCCGAGAACCAGCATTAAATTGCTCCTTAGCACTAATACCATTTCAAGGCCATTTTCTAGACTTGTCCAAATATAATAATAATAATAATAATAATAATAATAATAATAATAATAATAATAATAATAATAATAATAATAATGTTTATTTTTCATCAATAGTTTGATGAAGGACAGCTGCAGGTAAAAGCTGCTCTCCAAAAGAGGCAGCTTGACAAAGGCCCACAGCTACCTTTTAGCACGACAGCAATGGCAAACAATCAGCAATTGGAAGTCAACAACAATAACAAAACACCAAATAGATAAATAAATAAAAAATGAATAAAGATATAAAAATCAAGTCCGAATTCCAAAAATAAAAATCGCAACCATGATAATACAGCAACTGCAAAGAAATCTTAAAACTGAACATGTGTATATCGCGCAACTGAATCTGTGTACAATGTAAAAAATCTATGTCAGGCTTTCACATATTTATTAAGTAACGTAGGAACTACAGTAATCCCTCGTTAACTCGAAGTTATCAAATCCGGGGAAAATTTCGAGATAGGCGGTATTTCGAGTTAAGCAAAACGCCGAAAATGTTCGCCCAGGTCACTGTAAAAGAAAAGCCAGTGCTGCTAGGAAAAGCTCCACTGCACAAAACAGCTACCGTAGTAAAGGCACAAGAATTCGGAGGGGAAAAAAATTTATTACCGAGGACCAAAAAATTGCGTGATGCTCGCCTGTTTCGCTTTAGCGTTCGTTCCGAGAAAGGCGTTCCCCAGTTGCTCAACACATCGCATGAGCCGTTGGTCGCCACCGCTGCATTCAACCTTGTTGCGGAGCAAGCACAGCATGTTACGTGTTTCTGTCGTCGTAGGCACTTCTCGAGGCTCTTCCTCATCTGCATGGTCATCTGCGTCGTTCACGGCCATCTCAACGATATCGGCGTCCGACAGCATTCCGGTAACAGGGACGTCGGCCTCGTAGAGCGCATACTCCTCAAAGGCGATCTCGCCGTCTTCAGTATCGCTCACGCAGCCAGTTGCCTTGCGCACTTCATTGCACAGCTCATCACAGCCGCTGAATTCTGCGCCAATGGTCGATATTCGGAAGCGTCCGTTGCACAGACCACTCACTACTCAGCAAAACTGAGCTCAAGATGCGTCGTGCACAGATCGCGAGGAAAACAAAGAATACCAGCTCGCACATGCGAGGGCTAGGTTGCGTACTGACGGGCGCATGCTGCACACGCCGCCCACCGCGCATAAGTCGCGCGCAGGTGCGCACACGTGATCACTCCCACAGTTGCCTGACAAGGCTGATAGGAAACGGCTGCGTCCGCGGGAATTTCAAATTCGCCCTTCACGACTGCGTTCGGCACGTATAGTAAGAGCTAAGCGTTCGCACGGAGCCCTCGTTTCCTGTTGGGAGTAGACTTTGCCTTCTGCCCTCCCTGTCAAGATTTCGAGATATCCACTGTTCTCTCCGGAAAACGTTTCGAGATAAGAGGGGGCAAATACATAGCACCTATGGGAGGTTAATGCACGGCGAAAAAAAGTTTCGACTTAACGGAGATTTCGAGATATGCGAGTTCGAGTTAACGAGGGTTTACTGTATGTAGGATAACCTATCTGTGGAGTAGTTTGTTCTCGAAGTTTTTACTTGCCATGTTTCCTTATTTTGTGTTTCAAACAATGTAATATTTGGCTGCAGTTTTGAGAGGTCATACAAAAATGTCGACTTTTTTCAATTCACGCCTGATGTTTGCCAATGCTAACTGTAGAGTATTCCAGCCTGTTGAAACAATTCGCTTGTGTAAGCATCATACGGCAAGTTAAAAATGATTCTAATATACTTCTTTTGCATCAGGTACAGTTTTTGCAAGTTCGTGTAAGTTGTAGTCCCCCATACCAAGAAATAATAGGTAAGATGTGAATAGAAAAGTGATTTATAAAGTAAGAGTTTTACCTTGTATGGTAGAACAGTTTTGCCACTGTACACCACCATACCCACTACGCGGGATAACTGACTCAGCACACTGTGAATGTGTTCAGTCCAAAGCATATTGCTCGAAAATGTAACTCCGAGAATTTTTATGCTATTTACAAGCTCAATATAAGTATCGCCATACTTGAGATGTATGTTTTCATTAATGGGCTTGTTTTTAGGTCGGAATAGTACCGCCTTTGTTTTACTAGTGTTAATGTTTAAATTATTACAGCATGACCAGAGCTTTAGTTTCACAAGAAAATGGTTCATTTTTTCCTCAAGCGTGATACTATTTTCAGCTGAAACAAACATGCTGACATCATCGGCATATAAGACGTATTTAGCATCTGGATAAGTACGAGTTAAATCATTTATATAGGCTATAAAAAGAAGGGGTCCAAGGATGCTTCCCTGAGGTACACCCTTAGTAATAGGCTTCAGCTCTGAGAATTTTCTATCTATTTCAACCACCTGTTTGCAATATTTAAGGTAACTTTTTACTAGGTCTAGTGCATGACCATGAATTCCATAGCACTGCAACTTTTCAAACAACGTGGAATGCTGAACGTTGTCGAAGGCTTTACTAAAATCAACAAACATACCTAGAACAGCACGTTTGTTTTCAAATTCAGATAATATGTACTCTTTTTGTTCTAATAATGCAATTTCCGTAGATCGATGTTTGAATGCTATGAGAAAATTTTGAAGTATTTGAAATTTTCAATAAATATATATTAATTTGTGTGTTAACCCCGCAAAGATGGTTTTACTGCAGTGAGGGAATGCTAAGCCGTCACCACACCTGATTATTGAACATCCACCCTGCCACAAAGCCCCCCTTCAAGGTTAAATGATCATATCACCCTAACACTGATTCATTTTTGACGTCCAAAAGATTGTTATAGCAGCTTATATTCTTTAAGTATAGTAAATATTAAAACGTAACATATTTTACAGGTTATAACTTGCATTCTAGATTTCAATTTAAAAATATATGTACTCTGCAGGGTAGTTATGTCATGACGAAAATGCCCACTTATTTTTAAAACATTTGAATTCAATTCGAAATTATTTGACCAAAATCACTATTCACTTCGAATTCACTTCAAACAAGCCTGACATTTTCAGATTGGCTTGGTTATTACAGCACAGCACATTGAGGATAGCAGCTTTACCTTTAACGTGTCTTTAGATGACGATGGCTTCTTGGAAAGAGATGAAGAAGACGGTCGATTGTGTGAAGATGACTCGGATGAAGCTTTTGGCCTGCGCTCGTCGGCCATGCTGCTTCCGGATGGCTTCTTGACCAAAGGCGGCGCACCCTCTCGGTCTCTCCTCTCACCGCCGCTGGAACTTAGCCGTGCCGCCGTAGGTTGACTGGGAGGCTTCCGCAGTGCAGCTGCTTTTTCTGGTGGTTGCTTGGCAGCTGACACCCTCGCCTGAGAGGAAGAAGCATATTGAAATGAATTCTCAATGAATGTAGCAAACAAATTTCCTGCAGTTTGTGGAGATGGGTTTGCTCAAGAAGCTTGCCCTACGAAGTGAAGGGGAGGAGACGTGACATTCTCTGCTGCTATCGTGCACAAGGACTTGTTGTTGGGCTAGTTGGTGCTTGCTGAAAATCCTAATGTAGCGCAAAAATAAGAAGACACAACAGACAAACAGAATCACACACCACAATATTCCATTAAAGTTGTAAGTAGCGCTTGTGGTATGCAGTTCTGTGTGACCGCTGCGTGTTTTTTTTGCACTACGTTACGATTTTATAATGCAATAAAATTCTATGGCCGAGTTCGTCGACTCCAAAACGGAGCACAAATAATATACGAGGTAGACCAACAACAAACATGGGTTTATTCACCCTAAATACAGCACAGTACAACAATCACGGGCTTGCAGGCCGACAGGAAAACTCCGCAAGATCGATCGAGCAAACGCTTGCCAGCCGCAACTGCTGCTTATCACACAAAGGTCAGCAGCTGAGGGCGCATACGAGAAGCCACCTGCTAGAGCAGTGGGTCTGCCTCTCTTGCAGGCCTGTGACCGTCTGCCCACAGAGCGAGCGCCAGTCGAAAGCAAGCAAAGGAGAAAAAGGGCTGTCAGAGGCAGCCAATGAGAACCGGCGGAGCGCCGTAACGTGCACTAGCGTGATGCGAAGGGGAGGCATTGTCGAGGCATGTTTACACGTCTCTATGCAGGGAAGACGGACGTCTGGCTTGTACTACACAAAAAGGCCTCGTGGTGAAGCTACAGTGATCATGTCGCGCTCGAGGAACACTGGGCCACCGCTCGATTCCCACATGTTACAACACAACACATATTAACTGAGTGTAATAGACCACCATGGAGGGCATTTCTTAATGCTGTAGGAGCACTAAGTTTGCTCAGAGTATTCTAGTTCATTTTTAAGATTCAGGTTATGCAAGTTTAGAGATGGTTTAGCCTTGAAATTAGAGGGGCGTTTAGCATCAACCTCCCATTCATCATTGCAATGTCGTGCAGCGAACCCTTAACGGGCCCCACAAAACTTTTCAAGCATGGTCAGGAAGTGCTGCCAATCGACAGATGAGACGAGAACATGTGAGCCAAACGTTAGAGCATGGCGCAAGGCCTAAAAGTCACATTTAATTTCCAAGCCACATCGCTTGCCCTTCTTTCAACAAATGATGCAAAAATCCAAAATGGCTGCATCATAGGCACATGTCTGCCACAGTATGCCGCAGTGTGTTCACACTGCCCTCTATAGTGCTAGGGTTACCCATAGTACAGAATTACACCAACATGTGTGTGGTCAGACCGCAAGTGAACTGCACATTCATACAAAAGCAAAGGAAGCTCTCAAATGACCAATTAGGCGAGTTGGTGACTCATGATTATTTGAAATATGAGCGACTAACGTATACAGGGACTAAATGATTTGTTGTGTGCTTTTATCAAATTAGCTCAAGGAAGTTAATCTGTATACAGTCGAGCCCACTTATAACGAACCTGAGCGTGACGCGGCATCCGTTCGCTGTATCCCGAAGTTCGTAGTAAATGAAACACAGCTTTTAAAAAAAAGTTGCGAATGAAAACAGATACTTTTTTTGCCCCAAAATGTCTGTGATGCACGTGTTTCGAAGAGCAGAAGCGATAAGGGCGGTCTCGAGTTGATTTAAAGCAGCAGGGTGCTCGTTCGCCGAGGCCCGTAGCATAAGCTGCATGAGGCACTGGCTCCAAAGTTTCGTCGTTCTTGCAATCTGATTCCTCCAAATCGCTCTCGCCATGGACTTCATTCACAATGCCTCGATCTGTGCACGGTTCCGCAGTGTCGGCGTCATCATCGACCGTAATTAAACCATCGCAACAGATGTTTCACCCGCTCTTCCAGGTCGGAGTCGACGATGCGCTGCCACAAATCGCCACCGCAGTTCAGAAGCTTCAGGCTCGGCATCAGGCCCGACGTCGACGAAGTCAGCCTCGCGAAAAAAGTTTCGCGCGCATGACTGATGGTTACCATCATTCCATAACATTTGGCCCACACTGGACCACTTGTCTCAGCAGCTAGACTAGTGCTTTTTCACTTCACGTCTGCCACAGAAGCTACACGTCAATGCAGATATATTTGCAGCATCCAGGTAGCTCAAGAAGACAAGCCAGGAACACAGCTTAAGGGGGGACATGGGCCTTAGGGCTCTCTCATTTATTTTTTAACCAAATGTGACAAAAGTTGGCATGCTTACTTAGTTTGTTCTCTAGATTCTATAAATATAGTTATTTTTTCTGTAGCTTCATTAGTTAAATAATCAAGATAACAGTTTCTATTGTTCTTACCATAATAGAAAAATAACCACCTGTCAAAAATTTATAAATAACACAGGGATTGACAGTAGAAAGCATAAGTCATGCAACATAAGAAGCACTTTTTTGAATGGGTCATTATTTCTTACTTTACAGTACACTAAACTTTACAGCCCTGAATGTGACCATTGTGTGGTCACACAAAAGACTAGTTTGAAAAACTTGCATCAAGAGAAATCAAAATCTGCTTCCTATGTTGTGCGCTCCAAACATATAGCTTCATGCGGCAAAATAAAATATTCTGCTATCTGTAATACTTTCAGATATATTGCAGTAATTTTCATGCAGGGTGTACAAAATTGGCTTTTTGAGAAAATGAAGAAAACAAAGAATTCTAACATTTTTAACTGTAAAAATGTATGCACTTATAATTACATAGCCATTGACATATAAATGAATGCTAGAAAGCCTAAGGAGTGCAATGCTGCAGGCTGATCGAAAATTGAACGAGTACTTTTCGAATTACAGCACAGTAAAGTTCATTGCATGTAACCAAATACAAAAATTTTTATATTAAATTAAAAAAAAGTAAAGCTGCTCATTAAAAATAGGCTCACAGCATTGTTTGTTGTGCTCATTTAGCTACATTGTGCAAAAACAATTGCAGCTGTAGCTGTCCTAGGTCCACTTTTACCGAACAAGCAAAAGAAAGTGGTCAAAATCTGTGCTTCGAGAATAATGCCGTTAAAACTTAATTTCGCCGTTCCGAGGGAAACAATCATGGCACACATACTTTCAGTCAGTTAATATGCACCGGGAATGTAATAGGACTGATTGTTCGTATGAGAGTGTCGTTTCTTTTAGTCCTGTAGCAAGTTGTCGCCGTGTGCTTGTCTGCCGCGAGGCCGCTTATCAGTTCAGTGACTGTACTGACGACGATGTGCGACAAATGTGCGTGCGTCATCCACGATCCATCGAATAATGTGGCGATGTTTTCCAGCTTGTCCAGAATAAGTTACCTGTAAGTGTCGCGAACCAAAGTTGCTCTCTCGCTCATCAATTTCGAGGCTACACGAGTGCCGAGGTGTTAGTTTTCTTTTCACATAAGACTGCCGCATTTTCGAGCGGAGATCGCGACAACGTTGCAAACACATCGTTAAAAGCAGTCTACCTGTTGCCAGTAGCCTCTATTGCGGGGGCCGCGAGCATGTTCACTGCGAAGGGATTGACTTTCTGATGTTGGTAGACGCGCGGCGTACTCCACTCTGACGACCCGTCGCGCAGTTCAAGGTCCTTTCGTCAGGCGGGGGGAACCACGACATCGGCGGGTTTAGCGATAAGACTGCGCTTCCGTTCCGTCACTACAAAGATTGATATCTCTTGTAGCTTTACTTCTGCTTTTTACTTGCTGTCCTCTAACTGATGAGGCTGCAAAACACAGCCGTTCTCAGTAATGTTGTCGACAACCAATGGGCTCGTACGTGAGTTAGGCCTACACCGGTGACTCGGCGACAGCCGTTGACCGCATCGAGTTCGTTATCCTCGTTGTCCTGAGCCATAGCGGGGATCTTACTGAAGTTCACAGTGAACGATCGACCGTCACACCCGCTTCACAAATTACTGTAGCACAGAATTTCTTTACTGCCGCAAGCAGTCAGTAGCACCATGACAATATGGCGCATGTCCGTGCGCGTCACGATGGTGAAGCAGACGCCGAAAGCGCCCCTTGGCCAATTCGATGTCTAGTTTTGGTCACAGGCCCCAAGCAGACAATTGAATCGCGCGCTAGTGCTTCTCGATGACACGTTTTTGCTAAAAAACCAAAGAGCAAGGTGAGCCAGCGGTGGCGGGAAATTGAAGATGAAGAACGACCCTTCCAAATGAGACCAAGACGAACACGATAGCGCGTGTGTAACGGCAACAGTTTGGCGCAGAAAAAGTGCGATTTTAGCGTCAATTTGCGCTCACATTCATCTCACAAGGATGTTATAAATTGATATTGCACCAGAAATAATGACGCGAGAAGCTAGAAACTTCTCAGATAAGTGCAAAATAGGCGCAGATTCCGAAAATGTCAGCTTCAAAAAGTCGATTTTTTTTGCGATTTTTGGCCTTCTAAGATTCGTGTCCCCCCTTAAAGGAGCACCGACGTAAAATTTACTCATGTCAAGTTTTTTTCGTCAACGAGCAGCTATTGACCCCCTAGTAGTGATTTGCGAACTGAAACGCATCTGAGTGACGAATGAATATCGGCAATATTTATTAATATATCCGCTATCGAACACGGTTCAAGATGGGTCCAAAGCCTGCCAAATTGTAGTGCTTTCAGCGCTACCTCGCGGGCATGTCGAGGCCGCTGCACAGCTGATGCTGCTTCCACAAAAAACGGTGACGTCATGCACAGTGGAATTTCGTCTGCTAGAAGTGCACGTGCAGTCAGTCCAGCTGTGTCTCTGATGATGTAGACTAAAGACTATTCATACGTTTTTTGCCGGCTAGGTTAAGTAGCACCAACTCGTTCTTCCCTTCTCCCTTTAGCCTCGGCCTCGAGAAAGAGCCTCGTACTGCCAGTGAAACCAAACTGGTTCACCACCACAGGGTTTACCGTGTAGCAGCTTGGCGCAAAGGGAAGCAAGCAAATGCGGCTGTTCTTCACAGGCGTCCAGTCCCTCTGTCCATCGGTGCGTACGAAGTCAACCCACTGGCTGTGTTGAGGTTTGTGGCTTGAAAAGGCATGAAATTCCACGCACTTCCCCCTTTTTTCGCGCCTCGACGTGCAGGTTCACCCTACGCAGCGGTAACCCGACATTCTGGCACGTATTGTCTCTCTGAGTGATCGCAGTCACGCTGTGGAGCCCACATGAAATCATTCGATGTGACACGATGAATCGCACGCACGCTTCAACACAGCAAGGAGAGCCATTAGTGAGAGCATGACCGGGAGTCAGATCCAAACACACTCAAATCGTCGACGTCATTGTTGCTAGCGTATCGTCACTCAGGATGGTATTTGTGGAATGTATCACACTAAACACGTAGCACTAGTGTCGATGTCGCAGGGCAGTCTATTTTCCGTTTTTTCTCCTTAGTTTTTCCATGTTGTTTGACATCAAATCAAAATAACTTCGACGCAATGGATGCCATTCAAATTTGGCCAAAAAACCTATGCACACCAAGTGATCGAATGATGGGCACAAATTGACCTTTAACTCTGATGTCAGTGCTCCTTTAACTAAGCACTAAACGGTAATCTACTGTAGCAAGAAACAAAAAAATTGATGTAAGGCCATGTACAGTCACGCTCAATTTGAGTCGCAACGCACTGGCTCTGGTTAAAGTAATACCAAGGTGAAACAAGCAAACCAACAATCATTAAATTGGTTCAGAAAGTACCCCTAACTGAGAGAGTTCAACTAAGCAATTTTTTTTTGTGTAGGTGCCAATTTGCAGTGCTGGCATCATTTTGAGCCCAGAAAGCATGTTTCAAGCCCCCCCCCCCCCCCCACACACACACACGCACACACACACACACACACACAGCATGACTGTGCAGCACATATAGATCAAGTGTCCTTTGCAGGACCTTTTCTTTCTTTTATCCAAAGCACAGAACGGCAGCCAGCTCCCACGCACGACCGTCCAAGAAGAACTTCAAAGCCATTACAGAGTTCAGAACCCACAGCGACTGGCAGAGCGACAGAGCAGGTGGACACACTCGAGTTGGCTTTCTGTGTTACACACATGTACACCCATACTGCAATCTGCTATACTCAGTGAAAACTGACCCCATGTCGCTGAAATGCAGTACAGCAATGTGGAGCAGAGTGCTGCTGCCAATAGCTTGTAGTGTGTCATCTATTCCACCCACACCATCGTTGACAGGCCACTTGCTGTGGTGGAGACGTGTTCGCAGCACTTGCTGTGGTGGAGACGTGTTCGCAGCAAATGGAGGAATGAAACACTCAGCCTATCCCGAGACTTGTGCAAATATTCAAATGCTTCTAATATTCAAACAAATAATTAAGTATGTAAATTCGTTTTTAATCAAACTAAAATTATTAAAATTTTGAATTATTCGGAACAAACTTATAAATGCACTCAAATCTGCAAGTCTGAAAGTCACACCCTGTAAAGGTGTTTTCACTGCACTAGAGCAGCTACTTTTACATATTATACTTGTGTTCATGTAACTTTCTGTAAAGATGGTTTCACTACAGTGAAAGAATGCTAAGCCGTGAAAACACACAACCAAGATAAATCCGCACTGCCGCGAAGCCTCCCTTCAAGGTTAAATGAGGATATTACCTTCCAATTGAATCATTTTTTGTCTTGATGGGGGCATTCATGCAAACAAGAGAAAGGAAAATGAAAAAAAAAAGCTTAGTGGAGGGATAAAGTGATTTAAGTTTATCAGCTTTTTATACTGACTTAAATGCTCTAAGTATACCAAATTTTAGAAAGTACCGTAATTACTCGAATCTAACGCGCACCTTTTTTCCGGTTAAGCGAGTTCATAAATGGCATGCGCGTTAGAATTGAGTACGAACAAAAAATTACGGTCAATCTATTGCCGTCGCAAATCCAAAATGGCCGCCCCCTACGTGCGTCGGCATGGTGCGTCGGCTATTTCTGCCTATGTGTTGACCATGTGCGGCACTTCGTACGTGTGCTGAGGAGTTCGTCATCTAGTAGTGCATTAGCATCGACGACGTGAAAGGGCCGACTCCAAAAACTCAAGTGCACCACGATGCCGCTTTTAAAAGAAAAGTCATCGCGTGTGCAGAAACGGACGGAAGTCGGGCCGCATCGCGGTCGTTCCCGAAATGTGCGTGCGGGACCGGCGGAAACAAAAGCAGAAGATTGTCGACAGCAAAGCTTCACGCAAAGGCTTCAGTGAACCACAGCAGGGTCGGTTTCCGCAAATTAAAGAGCTGCTCGGCGAGTATGTGCTTGAGGAGCGAGCGGCACAGCGGCCCGTGACGACAGAACTGCTCCAAGTGCGGGCTATGCAGTTACCCTTAGAATAGAAAAAGGGCTAATGCGGAGCCAGTTTAAAGCGAGCAGGTGCTGGCTAATCAACTATATGAAGAGACGAGGCTCTTCCCTCCGAAGGGGAACATGCATATGCGAAAACTTTTGCGGAGAAGTACGATGAAAAGCTTTACAGTTTTCAAAGGTTCGTCCTAAACTTGCGGCGCAACAACGGCTACCTGCTTGGGCAAATCTGGAATGCCGATCAGACGCCTCTTTACTTCGACATGCCTGGCAACACAACTGTCGAGAAGAAGGGGGCAAAGCAAGTTCGCGTGCTGGCATCGGTCCACGGTAAAACTACAGTGACGGCAATGCTCTGTTACACGTCAGATGGGCACAAGCTTCGCCCGTACCTCATATTTAGATGGAAGACAATCCCGAAAGGAATCGTTTTTTCGAGTGGTGTGATCGTGCGGGCCAGCGAAAAAAAATGGGTGCGCGTTGCAATCGATGTCTTACGTTTTTTTTTTTTTTTTTCGCGGTGGAAATCGGGTGCGCGTTACAATCGAGGGCGCGGTAGAATCGAGTAAATACGGTAACATGTTGTACATGCTATCACTTGCATTCTCCTGAATGTCAAATTCTGGCAATAGTCTGAGTTGTTTCTGTTTTCTTTTAGCCAAAAAAATAGCATTTGCTCAGTCCTTCTTTCAATTTTTTTTTATACTGCACAGGTTAAATAGATTATGACAAGTATGCTTACATTTAGTTATGATATGCTACATATATGCTCTTCAAATTTAATTCGAAATTACTCAACCGAAATCACTGTTCGCTTCGAACCTCAAATTCACTGTATTTGCACAAGCCTAGCTATCACCTTATGAAAGCTTGTAGTACTAAGCTGACCACAACACTGCACTCCCTAATTGGCCATGAGGTTTCTCAACTGCCAAACTCAGGAGCAGTGAGCTCCATTAGTTTCTATTAAAGTAGCGCACATTTCAAAGCAGGCCTGCATCCTTTCATAACACCCCACTTGGCAGTTTAATTCCTGCTTTGGTGTCCTTGCACTAATAAAAGAACAGCGAGCACTAAATTGTTCCCACCTCTTTCTTCTCAAGTTCTTGCTGTTTACGGGCAATCTCCTTGCGTCGCTCGGCCAATCGCCGCTCCATCTCCTGAAGTTCACGCTCTTCCTCTTCCATCAGCCGCTGCCGCTCCTCCTTGAGACGTTCGCGCTCGGACTTCTGGGGCTCGGACTTGGGAGTCTTGTCGGACGATGCCCCTGGACGCTTGCCGTTCACGGCTGCTGGCGGCTTCTTCTCCGACCCCTCTTTCCGCTTGGCAGGTGGGAATTTCGAAGGCAACTTGACACCCTGCAAACACAAGGCCATTTCTGAAGTGGCTCATCCTATTGACATGGTCGCTTTGACCGGTTGACGGAGAGGCAGTAGAAAAGAAGAAAAACACAAGTTCATCCACTTAACTTCTTTTTTGTCACTACAATCAAAGAATCAAGTAGACTTGCAGCACTCCCTCAAGCATCGTTTACTATACTTTTCTTATTGCGTTCTCACATAAATTTTATAGAATATAGAACACTCATAGCCAGGGTGTCAAACCACACCCCAACTGAAAACTGTAACTGAGCAGAATGAGATGTGCTGAAACCACAGTGTAAGAATGAGTAAGGTGACGACACTGCGCACGACGGCGCGTCCAGATTGTGTTCGGCGTCTGGGCTGTTTCCGTGTGGTACGACAGATGCTGCTTACGGAGGGTGGGCCAAGGCGCTCACTGGAGAGTAACTGCGATCTGCGTGTAGAAGGTTATTGCTGCGGAGCCTCGCTTCTTTATTACACACAATATACACATGTACACGGGCGTCGATAAATTAATACACTGCGACTCTGCTGTAACGAAATTGATTTCCTAGTTTTATATGCAGCTTATTTGCTAACAGTATACTTGTCATATAAATGCTCGGACAGCAGCAAGCGTTGGCCTGAAGAGCGGTCACATTTTGACGTGACAGAACTAAAAAGCGTCGCTCGCTGAAATTCTAATGTCGGCATCGGCATCTTTGATTCCGAGCAAAAAATCAGCACTGTGCGTTGAAAAAAAACTTGAGGTGTTTGCAATAAGGATACCAGCCCGAGGGCAAACGCACGCTAGCTATTAGGAAAGCGATAGAATGCGTGCGTGTATGTGAGTGCATGTGTGCCTGCGCGTGTGTGTGAGTGCACGTGCAATCGCTGTCACGTTCGGTTTGCTTAGCAAATGAACAGAAAACATTGTCCGAAAACTTTAAACTAATGTATCACGATACTTACACGCGTTCTATTAAGAACTTGAATCAACACGCTACCCTTGCCAGTCTCACTGTTAGCATCACACAGATGACTCCTTTTCGGCCTCTGGCAGTACAAGCAGCATGGTATGATGGGAATAACTTCACTGGGTCCTGAAGGTCGACCCTAGGTTAACCCGTATTACACCCATGTCGGGATTGTTAGCACAGTGCCATCAGCCATACTTTGTGCTATTTTGTTAAGCCACGCAGACTTCACCTTGACGAAGTGCTTATCAGACTGAAAGCGAGCGCCCTACCTAAAGCAGTATCTTTCCTGCAGCTTGTGCCTTACGCTGCCGATGCGGGACGCCAACAATGATATTTCGCAATTGATGAGGCATCTAAGGCTGCCTAAGGCCTTCGCAGCCCTGCAACACTTTTTGAGCATGGTCAGAAAATGCTGCCGATCGGTAGTAGAGGCTTCCAACAACATGCAAGCCAAATATTATAGCACAGCACGTGGCCTGAAATTCACTATAAATGATTAAAGTCTGCTAAAAATCACTTTCTTTTTTCTCGCCAAATCAGTGAAAATGCTCAAAAATCACTCGGAAAAAGCCAATCTATCAGCCACAGGCTGATTTGAACATGGCGCGCTCGGTCGTTACAGAGATCTTCGTGGGAGGCTGTGACTTGTCCATGCATGCACACATGATCACACTAAAAAAACCGTACATTTGAAGAAAAGAAAAAGAAAAAAGTGCTCAAGGTCACAAGGCACACGTGACGTTTTTCTTAGTCCCTGCTATCCCTCCCTGCTTAGCTTGCAGCGTTTTCGTTGGGACGAGAGAAGAGAATGCAATCACAGCATGGTACAAATCTTTGTAACTCCACTCGCACTGGCCAGATTCTTAAAATTTCTGCGGCATTGAATTCGTGAGGCAATAAGCTCTTCGAGTGAATTCATTCCATGGTTACTTGAAAAAGTGTTTCAGGGCCCCTTTATCAAACGGTGTTGTGTCGTAAGTACCGTGTTCAGAAGTGCTCCTGCAATGTTGCAAGACAGTAATGATTAGAGGCCGGATTTATAGGCACTAAAGAACCAAGTTTTTGGCATCAAAAATAGGCGAGCAACACACTGTTTTAGGCCCCCGAAAATTGTAAATATAGGCACAATAAACTTCGACAAAATTGAAGTTTTTAAGAAATAGATGTGGCATTGTGTCTGCGACAGGAAAGCAAACAGAAATATTTGATTACGGTACAAAGACACCGATGGTTTAGCACAGCCATGCATTGTTTTTTCCCGCAGTGTTTGCAGAATACGGTCTCTCCTTCTCTAGTCCAACATGGTGAGTTTAGTGTTTACCATTGAATAAACAGGCTTTTGGGTCTCTCTTTTTGGTATGGCAGAGAAGCGCAACACAGGAGCAAATAACCAGAGCACTAATAAGCCATAAGGGTCTTTTTTCTTCGTTACAACTAGATCTAACCGCACATGGTCCATTTCTCTTTTGTCTGTGGACACCTTAAAGCGCCCTTCACCATGTTTGATGATTTCGAGAAGGCAAGAAAAATACATGCACTGGGCGCTCACGATATCATCTGCCAAGATTTGTAATGCTACGCGCCCTGGAAAGAGGTGTAATGTCAGACTGAAGGCCACTTGAACTTTATGCTTTATCCTACGGGCGCACGCCCCAACATGGTGGAAATTACGTATACAAGGTATGGTCCTGCGTACGTCAAAGTAGTACATGACACCGCAAGCATTATGCGATGGCCCATGTGTAACATGTGCAATCTGTTGCCTGAATAGAAGTATGAAGGTTACCAGAAATGTTAAAGCATACAAGCAGAACCTATGCGGGTTTTGCTTTTTATTTAACTTTTATTTAACTTCATATAGAGCAAGTTGCGAGACTAACGTGCCTCCATTTCAGCTACGTTGGTGCTCTCGCCAATCTCACATTGTGTCGGCGCCACCATTCACAACGCTTGGCGGGTTTTTGGTGCGTCATCCCTTAGAGCAGTTCAAGTGGTGCGACGCTGTGTATCATGGTAAGGACACATGATCCATGCACCCGTCCAAATGCGTGCTTATAGACAGATTTATCCCACAGAAACAGACACTACAATACAGAGAACGTTGAAATAACACAACACTGCTTGCGTGCACGACCTGGCATGGGCATGTTATGCGAATTTAAGCTTCCATGTGCATGAAGTGTTGATGCACCGGCATCCTGCGAATTTTCCGACACCAAGTTGCTCCGATAGCAAGGAGAGCAGGCAAGGAATTTATCTTGCGAAGTCTACACCGAGCAAGTGGCAAATGTTTCAAGCTCACCTCCTCGCATCATGCTTTCGGGGCTCGCAATGAACCAGTGAAAACAATCTAGTGGAGCGAAGCTTTTCATTGGGCACACAGCAACTTCCAGTGTCTAAGTAAAATTTCTCATGTGACCTAGTCAAGCGTTGTTTAAGAAATAAATGACAAACAAAACAAAACCACGTGAAAGACAAAACCACGTGGACATCTTTTTTTTTTCTCTTTTGCCTATACTCTACTTACTATCACCTGATGACACTCCTCAGTTTCATTCTTCATCGTCCTGCGACTGAACAGAAGCATTCAGTCTCATAATAGGCTGGGCTGACTGAACACACTAGGAGTCTCAAAAAAAAATTGCCCGCAGCTTCCCTCGGGGGAACACTGAGGAGGATGCGGAGCATATAATTGGTTAACGGGGTGTTAAAGTGCGACTTACTTGGGTCGATGGCTAAATTGGTTAACCGTGGTTGTGAAATGGGGTGTTAAATTGCGACTTACTTGGGTCGATGGCTAAATTGGTTAACGTGATTGTAGGAGGGGGTGTTAAATGAGTGAACACGTACACACGTATGCGAAAGGGCGGCGCTGGTCGAAGGGACGTCGATCATTGTGTTTGTGGATTCGTTGGAATTCATTTCACCGCGACCTTGGACGTCGACGCGCCGTACAAACCAACCGACGAGCGGCAACTGAGCAAGCGAGCGCCGACCTTGAGTATATATACAGCGCGACGGTGCATGCACTGTCAGCTGTCGAATGTTCGAGAAGGGGGAGAAGCGCAACGGCGCATGCGTGCGCGTCAGCTGCCGATGTTCTCGAAGCGCGACGGCGCATGCGCACGCGTCAGCTGCCGATGTTCTCGAAGCGTGACGGCGCATGCGCGCTACATTATACAGCTAGCGAATGTTCGTGAAGAGGAGAAGCGCACGCGGTGTGTAGAGGAGGAAGGGTGCACAGATGGTGGAGGAGTGAAGCGCGCACGGTGTGTAGAGGAGGAAGGAATGCACAGATGGTGGAAGAAGGAGGAGGAAGCTTGCGGACGGCGCCGCACTACAAGCCTCGAGTATTAGATGCTCCGCATCTAAAAGAGCAAATATACTAATGTCCTCAAAAAGTTTGCATCATCAAAACAACAAGCAAAATCTATTTCTCCATGTCTTCCTGGGACCCAGGTGAACGAATGGGAAGTCGCAGCCGGCTGCCAAGAAAGCATGGGTTTAAGCTTCGCTTGAGGCCAACTGAAAACTAATGTGACCGTTTGCGGAAAAGTGAGCGCCCCCTGTCCTGTAAACAGGAAAGTTCCGCTCATGCTTTTGGTTGGAAATGTCTTCACCAATTAACATGCTCAAGGCAACATGTGTTTAGCGGTTCACATGCACTTGATTTGTTGCATTATTGAAACAAATGCGTGCATACAGTCGAGCCCACTTATAATGAACCTGAGCGCGACACGGCATCCGTTCGCTGAATCTCGAAGTTCGTAGTAAATGAAACGCAGCTTTTAAAAAAAGTTGCGAGTGAAAACACAAACTTTTTGCCCCGAAATGTCCGTGATGCACGTGTTTTGAAGAGCAGGAGCGATAAGGGCGGTCTCGAGTTCACTTAAAACGGCAGGGTGCTCATTCGCCGAGGCCCGTGGGATAAGCTGCATGAGGCACTGGCACCAAAGTTTCGTCGTTCTGGCAATCCGATTTCTCCAAATCACTCTTGCCACGTACTTCATTCACGATGCACTAATCCGTACACGGTTCCGCAGTGTCAGCATCATCATCGGCTGTAATTAAACCATCGCAACAGATGTCCCCCCCCCCCCCCCCCCCTCCGCTCTCCCAGGTCGGAGCCGACCCACTGCCACAAATCACTGCCGCATTGGTCCTGTTTCGAAGATTACGGCTCGGCATCAGGCTCGACGTCGACAAGGTCTGCCTCACGAAAACAGTTTCGCGCGCATGTAGCCGTCACCGCTGCCCACGAAATATTCACCATCTCCACAGCTGAATACCGGGCTGCCAAGTGGTCAACAGCTATGAGCAAGCGCTCCGCAACACGGCACCTAACGCGCAGATTACGCTCAAGCCAAGCGGTTACACTTTCGACGTTTTGTTCAGCGGCAGGAAAAAAGCGTGCTATTCCTGCAGTCTGCTATCATGACCACACACACACACACCAAGAGCGACCAAGACGGGCACACGCGACACACATGACAGAACGCGTGGAACAGCTCTGGGCCTGTTTCTAGTCCCAAAACGAAACTAATTCGAGCCAGCGTGGCTGGCGCCACGGAGCGGTAGAGACGGGCGAAGAGGTTGTAATCAAGAGAGGAGAGCTGACTTGCGAGAGAAGGGCAAGGAGTTGCGATAAAAAGAGGACAGAATGTGGTGGGAGGGCGACCTAGAAAACCAAAAACACACGGGAAGGAGGCAGGTTAGTTAGCTTGCTTGAAGAGGTCTGCGAAATTCGCACATAGAAAAAACTTGGAAAGAGTGCATGGCTGCCTGAATCGGTGCACGCAGTGGTGTCCGAAGAATCGACGGCTGTGGTCAAAAAATCGTTTTGTTGTGCCGGCGGGTTTGCCTGGCCTCACGAACTTGAATATTTCGCGATTCGTTCCGCACAAATTAACAGCAGTTTTCTCGCTCCCACACGCACGTGGAAGTCATGCTGAGTTGAGTGCGAATGAGCGAGAACAAGTCCTAAACACGAAACCAATCGCAAGTTATCAGAGTCCGTGGGGTAGCGTATGCGCGTGCACTAGACACAGACTATCGCATACAGTCGATGGGTGACAGTGTTGGCAAACTGGTCTGGCCACTTCAGGCCAGCGACGCCAACAACAATACTAGCGATCAAAAACAGGCTAGATGGCCGACTGGTCTTTCAAAGATCAGTGGCAGTGTGAAAACACGAGCATCGTGTGGCGATGCAAGGTGCTCTGAGTAGCGGGGGAACCAAGGAGGGAGGGGTGCGTAAGAAAAAGCAGTCGGGGCACAGAGGAAGGAAACAGCTTTCCTTTCTCCATGGGTATGAGAGAGCGCCAACTAGAGGGTCGCAGAGGCAGGGTCGGCGTTTAACAATAACAATGTATAGGCACCTCGCCGATGCCTGATTGGTGGTCGAAAGTGGTTTCCCGGGAAGTCGGCAGACCGCTGACTCTGTTCGCTCCAACAGATCAGCGGCGCTCAGAGACGTTCGTTGTAAGTGCGATTTTGTGCCATTGAACCAATGTATATTTTCACGGTCACGCAGATATTGTTCGTTTTAAGCGAAAGTTCGTTTTAAGTGGGGCCGTTATATGTGGGCTCGACTGTATTATGAAAAACGACACTGTTGAGGAAGAAAACATTCTGTTTACATTTGTATAAACAGTGTGAAACAAGGATTTCTCACGTTTCAGCGTGCGAAACGACTCAGTGAGATCATTACCTCGACTATTCGCCAGGCTCAACGTGCCTACTTCTTGAAAAAAGAACGCTATGTTAGGCACTATTAGCATGCACAGAGCACAAGGACTTGCTCCTGTGATCTGCAAGTGCAAAAAGAAGTTGAAAAAAGCCAACGCGTTCGAAGAAAGCCTTGATTGAATTGGGCTACTTTTTTTGTTAATGCCACCAGATCACACGCATAAATTTGATTTGCATGAGATTTTCCTGACAATTGTGCAAATGTAAGAACCGGTCGAAATCCAGGATCCTCCTGGAAAATCCGGGAGACTTGGCAAGTGTGTCTATCTCATCTTTCTCGCCATCAACTGAGCCTCCACTACCATTTAGGGAGCTAGTTTTTATTCTCTTGTCCATTTTTTGGTTTTGATAAGTGAGATTGTTGAGCTAAGCCAATAATATCATTGCACAAGTGCCACAAAATAAACCCCAATTTGTCATCTGTTTTCCCTTTTGTTTAGGGCACATCTTTATTTCATGCTGTAAGGCCGAAATTTCAGATGAAGTACTTTTCCCTGTGCGATCTTGCCGATTGTGGACTAAGTGATTTATTTTCCGCTTTGAATTTCGTTTGTTGGGTGTTCATAGCAATATCCTTTGAGTCCAAATGATTGAACGGAGACTGTTCAGCCCAGATGAAAGCTGTCGACCTACCTTTCGATGCAGCTCCTCCTCGAGGCGCCGCTCCTTCTCCTGCTTGGTGAGAGGCCGTGACTCCTCTGTCCGGGTGGGCGCCAGCCGCTCGATGACCACCGGCTCGTGCTGCTTAGTGTTGGCCAGCTGGAGCAGAGTGTGATAGTCTACTATGGGGGGTGGCCGGGGTGCCGGCTTTAGGGCTGGCGGCTTCTTCTTCTTCTCCTCCTCGTCCGACTGATCCCCCGTGTACAGCTCGTACTTGCGTTTGCGCGGCTTGCGTTCCGGTGGTTCCTGCTTCTGCTGGGACAGATGCAAGTTCTAACATTGAAATACGGTACCGGTCATGCCGGGTTACTTTATTCCATGCACAGCGACTGAGGGCAGTACAAAGAAAAAGCAGCTATGGTGCACTCACCAAAATTGATACGACTCTTCATATTGTTTAACAATGCAAATCACTAGGCACTGGTCGAAAAGAAAAAAGTCCTTTGCATTTGCATGTTTAACATGACTTCGTACCAACCTGCCCAGCTTTATACAGTAAAACAAGACAAAAGTCTCACAAAGGCACAACAACATCCGCATTAATAAAAACTAGGACCATTTGGTCCCCTTTATTGCTGCCCATGGCAAGTTGAATAAAAGAGCTATTCAGCAAATCAGTTAGTGAATGGTTTGAAAAACTGTCCTTAATTGAATCACTCACTCCAGCGTATCAAGAGATACCTTCACAGCCACTCATCAATAAACTCACAGGGTCCATTACACATTTGCCTGATAAAGCAAACGTCATATTCGTATTCTTCTCAGTTGATGTGGGGATCCTCCCTCCTACAAAAGCTTGGCTCTGCACTGCCTCTGAGTGACTGGCCCACCTTTGACCAAGCGATGAGAGTCACCCTGATGCCAGGTGATAAGGTCATCGTGCAACACCATAGTGGCGTCATGTTGGCGTATGGCCTCTGAGATGGTGGGCACGTGGCGTGTTTCTCTCCGGCCATCCCAATCGCACGGAGATGTGTTTATACATGTCGGCATGGTCCGCTTTTTTCTCTGCACTGAGGATCGAAAAGGCTGCCGTGCTGTTGGCGAAGCTTGCATGTCGCGGGAGAAAATGATTTTGCGCTTTTATATAGCCTCATGCTCATTTGGAAATGCCGAGTCAAGGTGTACGAGAGGCAAAGTGAATGCTGGGTCTATATATTCTCAAATGGACTTTGTTTTTGTTTTTTCTTTGTTGCAGGTTTGCGCTGCCCGTATTAGAACACTTGTAATTCCGATGCCTCTGCAAGAGATCGGTATCTGTTGGAAACTTGCTATAGTTTGCAGATAGTATAGTATGGGGGGCACTGGCAAAGAAGAAGAAAAAAAAAAATGACAGCCCAATCCACAGGTGAAGTCAGAAAAGCGCCGCTTCTACGCTTATGGGTTACACTCGATTAAATGGATTCCTTTTTATTTCCCCTTTCATGGAACTTTCAAGAATTTCAAGAATTCTTCCCGACACACTGATGTAATCACAGCTGGCGCGAAAGCCACACTCGCATAGCATACAATGCTTCGCACTTGCCTACAAGGCTTCCCTGGTTTCCCTTTACAACTACCTTCCATCAAGCCAAAGAAGTCGGTGACAGGGAGGAGGGTGCAGGCAATCACCATGCATCTATACTAAACGGATCTGAACGTCGCCGGTTCTGCGATGACCACGGGCTGGTTACAGGCGCGTTTCGGTCACTTACGCTCGCCCATTCGCACCGCGAGTTTTATAATGTTCAGTGGATATGTTGAGCAATGTAAGAACAAACATCAAAATCTTTTACTTGTTTAAGAAGAAGTAGGTTGGCTAATCGAAGCCTTCTAGAATATTCTGGAAAAATTACTTATCATTTTACGATCAGTGACATGACCAGGGCACTTAGCCTAACTGTGCCTCGGTTGACCACCTCATAAACATCTGTACACGACAAAATAGTAAAACGGTGTGTCGTGATAGGAAAGCAATATGATTCAACGATAATAATTAGCCCAGTTTTCACCCATACAGATCATTTATCCCATACACATCATTTAAAGTTGTTTGCACCTCGTGGCGCTCACATGTTTCGCGCATAAGCTGCAGTTGGGGTTCACAACCATGCAGCGGTAGGTAGCACTGTGCTCGCAAGCTTTTATCACCATTATCTTCAGCATGGTAAGCACGGCAGCACCAGCAGCGATGCCTTGCAGCCAGGCTGGCTGGCGACACATGAGGCATGAGCGATTCTTTTCGGCGGGTGGCGGCTGGCTTTAATAGTTGTCTCCTGATTGTGTCCCACGAGGTGCGGCGACTGTAAGCCATACCACGTAGGTCCCTAGCAGTGAGTTAAACATCGGCGCCGCCGCCTTCGCATTACCTTGTGTTTGTTGTTATGTTGATAGAGTGTATTTTAATATTGTTTAAGATTGTTTTAGCGTGTTCATCACTAGTATAGTATTTGATTCAGCTGACAATATCGTCGCGGTAAAAGTAGTTCAATAAATGCGTTTGGTTTGGTCCGACTGCGTCTGTTGTCTCTGTTTGCTCCGAGAGCACGTGCCATTTTCCTAGACCCCACAATGGCAACCCGATGTGGAGCTTTTGGAGCATCGGACGACAGTTTTCAGGGTTCAGAAAATCCTTTGTTTTGAGCCGGCATAGAGTAGGCCAAAAGAGATGGGTTGCGGTGACGTATTTGAAGTTGTGAACACGTTGAATTTTTTTTTTTTTTTTTTTTCTGCTAGCAAGTGATTTTCGTGGTTGTTGTTTTAAGAACGTTGAGTTCTTGGTACGAGAGCCATGTGGTGCACATCCTGGGTAGTAGAGAAAAGCTTAGAGCACATAGTAGGCCAAGCCCCTACTTCGATAACGAAATCGTGCTTCCTGCAGTCTTCATCAAGTGTCACAAGTTCGAGAGGAAGTTGGCACTACTTCATGCTGACAAGTCACCTTGGATGTCAGGTTTGCTGCTTGCATAAACCTTGCAATGGATGAATAGCCCTGACCAGCTACCACTTCACCTTGAAGAAGAACGGCTATTTGGGCTAGTTGGTTGGAATTCATGGTATTAAGGGCTGCAGCGTGAGTACGAAGGTGCTAGAAGAAACGTGAAACGAAAGGCGAGGCAAGGAAAGCAAAGAGGACAACACGAGCGCTGACTACCAACTGAATTTTTTTATTCACAGCACACATGATAATATATACAACAGGCAATCTATTAACAGCAAACGTGAGCAACGTGACATATTCTGGAAAAGGGTCTGATAAAAAGAAGGTACAATGATAAAATGGCTAACCCTTATCTAAAAGCGCGACCTCTTTGTCATGCAAGGCCACCGAAGGTTGGCTCATGCATCCGTCACCATGTTTTCTAATAAAATACGCCTCAGCTATTTCATGAGTTAATTTGTCTATGTGGCGTACCAGCACACTCACGCCTGGAAATCAAGGCTGGCACCCGCAGCTTTTACAGTGCAGAACGAGGTTTGAACTAATTCCTTTGCATACATCATTCATATGTTCTCTTAACCTTTTATTAATGCACCGCCCAGTTTGGCCTATATAACAACGACCGCACGTTAAAGGAAGCATGTAAACAACACCAACTGCGCAATCTACAAATTTTTTTATGTGTTTTACGGCACAAAGAGCGAGAAAGAGTTGCAGTCATCCCATACTTCCACAATACATCTCATGGTTTGAAGAAGATAGGCTCGAGATATGGTGTTGGTGTAGTTTTATCAGCCCAGTGCAAAGTAAGCCAGATTTACAGAATGACGGATTAGCGCCTCAGTGAAATCACCAAAAAAAGTTGGACATGCGCCGTAAAACACATAAATAAACTTGTAGATTGGGCAGTTGGTGTTGTTTACATGCTTCCTTTAACGTTCGGTCGTTGTTACATAGGCCAAACTGGGCGGTGCATCAATAAAAGGTTAGGAGAACATATGAATGATGTATGCAAAGGAATTAGTTCAAACCTCGTTCTGCACTGTAAAAGCTGCAGGTGCCAGCCTCGATTTCCGGGTGTGAGTGTGCTGGTACGCATGGTCAAATTAACTCGTGAAATAGCTGAGGCGTATTTTATTAGAAAACATGGTGACGGATGCGTGAGCCAACTTTCGGTGGCCTTGCATGACAAAGAGTTCGCGCTTTTAGATAAGGGTTAGCCATTTTATCATTATACCTTCTTTTTATCAGACCCTTTTCCAGAATATGTCACGTTGCTCACGTTTGCTGTTAAAAGGTTGCCTGTTGTATATACATATATATTATCATGTGTGCTGCGAATAATAAAATTCAGCTGGCAGTCAGCGCTCATGTCGTCCTCTTTGCTTTCCTTGCCTTGCCTTTCGTTTCACGTTTCTTCTAGCACCTTCGTGCTCGCGCTGCAGCCCCTATTACCACTTCACCTTGCTTTGTGCCTTACTTATGGCTCTTGAATGCAAACTACCCTGTCACTGTAATGTTGACAGTCTTCTGAAATATAGCGCAGTTGGCTGGGTAAGCACCACTTGGTTACAGTCACACCAAGTTATATTTCGTATAATGCAGCCACACAGGCTGGAACCTGCACTTTCTGCCTGGCATCTTTTCAAAGCAAACATGCAATGCACTGGGAGAAATAGCACACACAAGCCTGAAGGACAAAACACTACTCTCTAGTGTGTCGATCACAGGTGTCGCGGTGGCACGAGGAGTGATGCCTGCCGTCGTCAACCGCTAGGTGTGCTGCACTGCGGAACATGGACAGACTTTGGCAAAACATGACATGCGTCTCCTTTTCCCTCGATCACGACTGGAATCGAGCCTGCCCCACGCCAACAAAACAGAAATGACAGAATATTAAACGGAACGACACGATGCACCTTTGATTCTACCTGTGCGGCTTCCGTCGCACTCGCTCCAATAGATTGCAGCACCTCCTTTAATGCCACACAAATAGCATAGCTCGAGACGGTGCAGAGATGACTGAATATTGCCATATTTACAGAATGTAGCCCAACCAAGCGGTATGCCTTGGATTAAATTTGTTTTCCAACAGATATTAGTAGCCAGATGGTGTAACGACTGTGCGATTTAAAACTGAAACTCATGGAACGCCTTCAAGTCAACACAGCTTCTTTTTGTGGTCAATCGAAGGAAAAGGTGCCTTTGAAATGAGTGTGACATACAGAAATAGGTCTTTAATTTCCTCTACAAAAGAATGAATTCGACGGCATTTTTAAGGATTACAAGAAGTTCACATGTATTCACCTTGAACTGATATTGTCAATATTAAGGA